CTGTAATGCTTTTAGTGTCTTTGCAACCATTGCCAAGCTGAAAGGTTAAGAGCTTTTACCGACACTTTCGACTGCTTGGTGGATAAAATCTGTGTTCATAATTTCAACGAGCTGCCACAGACTGAAATTCATCCCAAACCATGACACAGCCGTGCTTTACAGATGGCTCAGGGATCTACCTCCTGCCACCTTATTGACGGCCTTCCACAGTAGCTGGATCAAGGGGCCAGGTCCACCTCTCAGGTCCTGCGTCAGGTCTTTGCATGTGACTTTAACATTTTCAGCTTATTTATTTGGCTTCGGCTTCTTTGCTTTATCGTTTTGATTCTCACAGCAACAGTTTGAGCGACAGCAAGAAAAAGCTGAAGAAATCATTACACAGGCCAAGACCTTAGAGTTGAATGAATATATGACCTGTGTTCATCGGGAGCGCTGAAAGCCGACCCTGACCCAACGCTAGGAATTTTACTCTTGCTCGAAGTTTGCCAGTTTTCAAACAAATAATGCTGAGCCACTTTCAGAGCGAGTTTGTCTGTACAGGTGACAGATGTGACAGATGTGACAGATGTGACGGACATGATCTCCTCCTCCATCCCACACAGCTTGTTTTTTTGTCTGCTCAAGCTTTTCAAACCAAGAGCAGCAAACACCTGTTTCCTCAGGGGTCGAACTAGAGAAAGCAGCCACCTTCCTGACTTCCTGCTCCCTGTCTTCAGTAAGTCAGATATTCATCTTTGATTTGATAGAGGCGTGTGCAACAGCCAAATATCGACAGCACAGTGCTGCTGTTAGAATCTGATAACAGCGACGTGGGATTGATGCTTTGTTTCTGTCCTCCAGGTTCATGTATGAATCGCATTAAATAATTATTATTTTTGGAAATGAAAACATGTACCTCAAACACACTCTGTGAATAATGTCTGAACCCTTTTGTCACAGCTGGAACCGCCCACTGGCCTCTAGAGCTGCTTCAACACATTTATTGCTTTATTTTGAGTGTCAGACACGTTTCCCCACTTTGTGATTAAAAAAGTGGCGCGTCTGTGGAATTATGATAAACTCATCATGTGGTGTTTCCACCACAGTCTTGCTCGTTGACAAACACTGATGTCCAACTCCTCCTAATTCAAAAACACGCCCCTCCACCAGCCACACTCAGCAGCGTCATGGCGGGCAGGAAAAATACCGCCGTGCTTCTTGTTTCCTCTCATCCCTGAAACAAGCTCGCACATACAAACAAGCGCTCTAACGTTACACAAGTAAAACCGCCCACAGCTTTTGTGTGATGGTGCTGTGTTGCTGGAAAGATCGTATTTGGGCACGTACAGCTCAGCTCGTGTTCCTTCAGGTGTCTGAGCCCACGGCTGTGGTTTCTCTCCTCCACAGCTCAGTGAGCAGTGAGCCCACATCCCTCTGAGGCTCGCTGCTCAGGCTTGTGTGAGCATCCCTGTAACTCTGTTTGTTTAAGTGCAGGTCAGACATTAGCTAAGGCTGTGTAGAGGGGTTTATTACATCCCCCTTCTAGGCAGAATCTTCTAAGTGTAATCTGCAGGCATAGCTGCTGCTGATGGGTTTGTTTTTTTTTAAATGATTAAAGTACATAAAACAATCTAATGAGCAGATACACATTAAAAATATCTCTCTATTTCCTAACAGGTATAAACAATGAAAGGTGGTGGATT